CCTCTCTCTCTCTCACTCCCTCGTCCCGAGTGGCGTTGGCAGCCCATTTCATGCTTTATCACGTCTTTTAATTGACAAACAAGCTGCTCTTTTCTCTTAGGCTGAGGTCTATATCACCCCCTCGCTCAGATGCACACACACCCACACACACACAAGGAGCCAAGAAAACTAGTTATCTTCTCAGATTTTGGATAAACACACACACACAAATAAGCAAATGCATCCCAGCTGACATATGGCCCATGCGACTGTCACACAGTTTTTTACTCTTTGACACATTTACACACACACACACACACACACAAACACACACACACACACACAAATACACAATGTCACATGTGCACTTAGGTTGAAAATGAGGGGGGGGGAAGGGTTCTCATCACTTTTGGCACTTCCTTAATCTTCTGAGATGTTTTTTTCGCCATGGTTCACTCATCTGCTACAGGGCAAGGTCAATACCAATCACAACCGACGTATTGATTTTGAGTGATCGTGTGACACCTTTCCCTTAACGATGCTCACGGAAAATACTTTCTTTCCAGTGGCTTTTTTGGAAGATCCACATGCTAAACTACAAACAATCTCGGTTCTTGTGAAGGCCTCGTCACGCTGCTCAAGCAGCTGTCACTGTTTGGTTTAATTTGATCGACATTGGAAGATACTACATTAAAGCATAGGGAGAGAATGAGGTGAGGGTCAACACCAAAGACCTTGGTGTCATTGCAAGGTCACTTTCAGTTAATAAATTAATATTGTTGGATGTACTATTGGTTGAGGCATATTTTGTACAGTAAGATTTAAAATATTTCTATTCTGATGAGGCAGGTTCTGCATGAAAAAGATTTAAGAAGTGTCACTGGCCCTAAGTGGGGCAGGGTGAGTGTGCTGCTGGCTTAGTCACCCCCTCCATCCCCTTCACCACTACCACCACCTTGTTCTTTTACATTTCTCTGGTTTTAATTGGGACTCAGAAGGAGCAGAACTACTATGTCCACTGGGATTTTGCAAAATGTGACACAGGTTAAACTTTTAGTACACCCTACATACTTAAAACAAGTACTTTTTTTAATACATAGTATTGGGGTGAACATCACAGTATGTGAAATTCTTGTGCATCATCTGCCATTTATGTGATAAAGGACTTTTACATAAAAGCTGAGATAACAGGAACAATTTTGAGACATTCATTTTTAGTCCTTTTGCCATGCTAAATACATGATTTATCACATAGAAATACTTTAGTCTTATGAGCTGTACAGTGTTCTGTGTACCTGGATTTCATTCTCTGTTTTGGAAAGCTCCCAATCAACCAACTTCTCTGGCCAATCAATGGCCCCTGATCCTCTGTTTTTTATTTATTCCATAAACATAAATCTTAATAAATCTTAAAACTAACTTTGTTTCCTCCTTTATGCTGCTTCCCCCCTGTAACATAAACCTACCAAACCCCCCTCGGTTTTGTGTGGTCTCCCTTTTGTTTCTTGCACAGTGGGGTACACAGTATCCAGGATTTTAGAAGTAAACCCTGCTAAGCTAGGCGCCAACTGAATCAGTTGAACTGATTTCTCAGTTATTCCATCAGCTCTCTACTTTATTATTTTGCCTTTTTTGTTTTGAGGCAATCCTGGGTGGAGGCACTATTCTCTGTTGGGGGTAATGCTGCACAGTGCTATTGGCTTTGTCTGGCTGATGGTGCTGTACAGCGTTTTTGCCTCACATAGGACAGTTAGGCATAGGTTTCTGAATCAGTAGCTGTATTTAATTGTTGTACTGAATGTCTACAGCTTGGCAGCTTGGGATTTTGAGTCTTTGTTTTTTTTTCTTTGTATATGAGCTTTGTGTTCTAAGTTTTTCCTTTTCATTGTATGCATCCTATTTGTGTGCTACTTTTGGTGTTAAGTGCTTTTGTTACATCAGTTTGGTAGCTTTTCGGTAGCTTAGGTTTTGTGTAGACAAAACATCAAGTTTGTAGCTTTGTGTAGTTAAGAAACAGTGTGTAGGATTTAGTGGAGTCTAGTGGTGAGGTTGCAGGCCAGTGTTTGGTTTGTCCGTTCTGGGATACGAACATGGCGGGCTCCCACTGTAGATAAAAACGGCTCATTCTAAGGTAACAAAAACACGACAACGCCTATTTTCAGGTGATAATATATTCATGAAAACATACCTTTTAACTTTTTTTAACTTTTACTTTTAACTCCTGAAGTGGCTCTGCTGTTGGTACGTGTGTGTGTTTACTTGATAAACATGCCCTGAAGGTAACAATATAGCTACGTGAAAGAAATGATCAAACTGCAGGAATTCCTTTTCTTGGCAATGTGTGACTTTGATTAGCACCCAGCAGCCACCAGGTAGAGTACACTCTCTGCACTGTGGCCGATTGATTCATAGAAATAACATGGAGATTTTTTTTCCCATTGACCAATCTATTGGTTGTAGAGTAGGTAGAATTTCAGTCCACCAAAGTTTTTTTGGTTGACTACAGCCCATGGAAACAGAACTCAGGTGAAAGTGTGAATAGCACAGTGTTGGTTTTGTGGTAAAACACTCACCGTGATGTGATACTGTCTCCAGATCTCTGGACAAGCCTGAGGGAAGAAAAAAAGGTTTTATATGGTCATCAAATATATTATGTTCATTTATATTGTAAATAAAAGGAATAACTCAGATTAAAAAGAGGGGAATAAAACAACCTGCAGCTTGTGTGTATCTCTTAATTGTGAGTGGCATAGTAAAGATGGACGAAACATTTAGGCAGATGCTAACTAACAGACAGGAGAGGACTGAGAGAGGGCCAAAAGGAAACTGAAAACAGACTGTGGTGTAATTTGTTTGCCTGCCAGACTCTTTAAGTCTCTTCCTCCATCTCTCTTTCTCAACCTTTATCACCCTGATTTCTCAGCAATGGCCTATTTCCCTTCCTTTCTGCAGTCAGTCACTCAAACAGTCAGTAAGTAAGGCAGTCAGTCGTTTTGTCCCGGTGTGGCTAAAGCATTATCTCCGGGGCTTCGCCACGCTGTTCCTTAAGCGTTCCGACATCCTTTCCCAACCGCCGCCACTTCCCACTGGGAAATTGAAAATGCCGCAGTCGCCGCAGGCAACAAGATTTATCTACTTACACACCTACTGAGTGGGAGAGACTGAAAGAGAAAGGAGAGAGAAGGAGAGGGAGATCTAAGCTGGTTCTGTGAAGAAGGCCATGTTTGAGTTTTCTCTTGCATACACTAAACAACTTCTTATACACATTTGCATGATATGCAAATTCTTGTCACATTTAAAAAAGGGGTATTTGGCCCACAGTGCTCGTTCAAATCCTGACCTTTAAAGCACCCTGTAAAGAATGCTAGGCACTTCTTCTGGCTTAATCTGAGCTGCTTAGATTTGAATACAGAAATGGGCAAATATGAATTTCGATAGCTGTATCCTCCTCTACCTCTCATCTAGCTCTCTTTTCTTCAACAAACCCCCCCACCCCACACACCCAACCCACACCCCACTCCCTCCGTTGTGCTCTCTCCCTCCAGACCGCCGGGGTAGTGTGTTGTTGTCCGGGGGGGACAGGCGGAGGCGAGCGACACACTCGCACGCTCGTCAACCGTCTGTCTTGTAATGAGAGGACACAGAAAGGGCCCAGGGGACAGAGACCTGGACTCCATTTCCTATCAAACACACACAGCTAACACGTACAGTATCATTTGTGAGTGTAAGGGGAGAAAAAGTTGTGTGTTCCAAGGAAAGGGTAAATTACAATACCAACACAACTTTGCACCCTTTGTTTGCTGTTGATATGCAAAAGAGGAGACAAAGAAGAAGAAGAACGTGAGGATCTGGGAGAAAAATGGGTGAGAGAGAGGGGGCAAGGAAGAGAGGAAAAAAATGGCGGTGTGTGTCCTGGTTCTCCCCTCTCCCTTCTGGTGTTCACCTGGTTACTCATCCATTACACAGAGCACAGGTACATGACTGGACTGGCGGAGAGCGAGAGCGAGAGAGGGGCAGAGAGAGAGAGCGTGTGAGGTGGGGGAGACAGAGGCGCGGGCTCTTACATGCACACAGGGTTTTCCATTCTATGGCATTAGTGTAAATGGGCAAGGTAATGAACGTTGCGGTGGGATAATTGTCATTGATGGTCATTAGATTCACCCTTCAGTGCCAACGTACACACACACACACACACCACACACAGCACAACACACATACAACACAGAAACACACAAGATGAGCCCACAGCTGGAATATGCAGCATGGCAGAGACATAACTAAGCTGTAATTGCTGAAGTGTATCAATTAATGTGAACAGCAGCGTGTGCTGACCCCTGGTCACTCACTATTACTAAGAGAGAAAGTGGGGGAGAAAAAGGGGGACAAGAGGGAGAAAGGGGGATGGAGAGAAAATAAATATAGCATAACAGAACAACACTGTATGCACCATACAGTACTGTTCTGTTAGAAAGGTAGTTGGTGCTTCATCATGTTTACAGTAAGCACTAATTGTATTTCCTACAAGCCAAAGCTCCCACACACACACACACACACACACACACACACACAGAGTGCTTGCTCATACAGTAGCATGAAGTTGACTGAATTTAAAGCTTTCTTGTTCCTGCAACACTTCATTTCCCTCTTTGTACTATATACAGTATGTCTTCATATATTGAGCATTTGCTTTTAGTGTTAATTTACATTCAGCTCCTGTGAAAAGTGCAGTTTCCTATACATTATACTCAAATGTGCTATTTGGTTGGTGTGATAATGTGTTAAATTCCACTGTGTCAAACCAACCATATGCTACGTACTTAATGCTACAGCATGCAATGATATCTTGGACCATAATACGCTTCCAACTTTCTGGCCACAATTTGGGAAGGCCCTTTCCCGTCTCAGCATGCCCATATCCAAGTTTGGTGTTGAGGAACTGGTCTGCACAGAGCCCTGAACCCCACCCAACAACTTTGGATCAACTGGTACCTGACCGCAACCTCACTACCTCTCACTAATAATGTTAAGGTGTCCACATAGTGTGTCCGGAAGAAGTTAAGTCTGGGGGTGCATTTCATTATGCTAACGTGTCTTATTGTTTCCCCCACTCACTTTCTTTCCTTACGTCTTAGCTCCTCCAAGTAAGGATGTGAGAGAGATACGAGGAAGAGATTTGAGGACGGAAGAGTCGAAGCCCCCAAATATGAGATCACTGCTTCCATAGCTTCCATAACTTAAAAACCTACAGTACTCAATTAGATATGTATATTGTTTAACATAGCCAATTATTATTTTGTTATATCTCCCCCGTGTTCTATTATGTAATCTCTAGATCCATATAAACAACACTACAGATTAGGGACTGTGAGAAAAAAACTGTGTAAATAAAAAATGATAAAATTTTGTTTAGGATAATCTGTCAATCAGGTAGTCAATCATGCCAAACACACAAGTAGCACTCATGTTCCACATGTGGAGGTGGTATTTTTAGATCACGCCCACACCACGTGATAAAAGACTTCTGCGTAAGATACACCTGTGTTTTCTCGCTCTGAGCTCCTCCAGAAGCGTCCTTTCTCATTGAGCCCCATTTAAGGGATTGGAAGACCCTTCATGATAGCGGAGGGTGAACGATTTCCACGTCACAGGAGGAGAGAGGATGTGAAGAAGCATAAGTTGGCATAATGAAAAGCACCCTGGCTTTATTTCTCCCTGCCTGCATTGGACTCAAATATGCAGATCCTTCTCTTATTTAAATTACAACCTTATAAAACAGGATGCTATACTCACGTCAAAGAAGTGCCCCGTCATGCTGCAGCGATGGCACTGTTTATGCCAGTGCGCTTTCTCGTTGCAGGACTCGTAGACGTGCCCGGGCAGGCCACAGTTGTTGCAGTGCTTATTGGGACACTTAATGGCCAGGTGGCCTGGGGTGCCACAAAGGAAGCAGGCCGACAACTTCTGCACACATACACACAAACACAACACAGTAGTTTTACATACTTGTACTCATCAGTGTGTATAAACTGTACATGCTACTGTGCACTGAGTGGAACTGACTTTGGGCTCAGGGCAGTTCTTGGAGAGATGTCCATTCTTGTCGCAGTTCCTACACTGGACATTCTTGCTAGTATAGTATCTGTTTGACAACCGCTGCACTGTTATCTTGGCACCCTTGTCTTTGTTGTATATTTGAGCCTGAAACACACACAGTTAATACATCATTTACAACATGTTAGTAGCAAGACTTAGTGGACTAACCTGGATGTTAATAAAGAAAACATCCAGGTTCAGTGAAAATCTGAGAAATATTATTTCCAACTCACTGTGACAAATAAAAAGTCAGATAAGAGTGTGCTATACGCTCTTATGACAGCAAAATATTGTTTTTAGAAATGAAACATTACTTTACTTATATCCTTATATATAACCAGTCCTAACATTTGCACTATGCACTAGATATATATATATTTGCCTCCTACCTCTTTGTCCTTGTCAGAAACCAACCAGCCGCTCTCTTCATCTCCAACATCTGGCAGAAAAAGGAAAATTAATGAATTACTTTAGTTTAGTACATACTCTAGTATGATAGCAGCCTTGCAAGCAAACATGTTATTTTCCTTTCATTTTTATGTTTAGCGAAATGGAGCTTTTTTGTTAATGAAATCTTTACACTAAATGATTCCTATCAAACACAGAAAGGTTAGGTATCGAGAACGCTGAATTGGAATTCACAAGAAACCAAGGACTTTATTATGAAATAAGCTTTTTCAAAATATGCTTCTCGATTCCTGAAAGCAATGTTTAGATCAACTGTGCATCTACAATACTGGTTACACATGCATCATGTCTGCTTATGGCAGCATAAATCTACAGAAAATAAAATGTAGTTTTTGCTTTAAATTTTCTTACTGAAACAACATGACAAGACAAGGGACCAGGATTCAATAAGAACCAGAACTGATAAATTCTAGGCAATATCCAACCCTATTAAGAACTCTAAACCCTAAGGAGTAAGTTTAGCTTCCTGTAAAAGAAAGACACACACATACACACACTGAAACTGACACAGTGGCAGCCCAGCACATCTGTATGAGAGTGGCACTAACAGCGCCCTGAGGGAGACCGCTGTATTCTCCTCAGGCCCACAGAACTGTAACTGACATCCAGAAATCGTAACGTACACACACCCGAACACACACACACACACACAGACACGTGTACTCAGCATAAATTATGTGCTGATAGCAACGACCCACACAGGCTCACATGCTTTCACAAACACATACAGACACACCCACGCATCGACCCCCACGATTAGCTGGTTGACAGTCTTTAGCCTTTGGACAAACATACAGCCTTGAGCCATAATCAAATATTACAGTCTCCTTTCTACCTCGCGCTCTCTTTCCTTTTCTGACTCTCTCTCTATCCAGGCCCTTATCGCAATTCTGCGCAGTCTTCCTTCCTTTGCTTTTCGCTCTCTCTCTTCTCTTCTACTTCTCTTTCCCCCCCTCTCTTCCCCGGGTGTGAGGCTGCAGTGGGAGGTTATCACCTCTCTTCCCTGTCAAACAAATTAAAATGGCTGCTGTTTGGATGGGGCTTCTTTCTGCCACGACCTTCACCTCCAAAAAACACGCGCACACATACGCACACACACTCTTGCAAGTAACTCAACGTCGTCGTCGTCATCACAGCAAAAGCTAGAAGGATGATTTTAATGTTTTAACATCATTTGAGCGCCCTCTCTGTTTTGATTACTTTGGGAAGATGAAAACCTTTAAATGTCCTTTAAATAGTGGTCATAAAATCAGTTTTCCAGAGATACTGAAACATATATATTTGGGAGATACACACACCACTGACCATACAACGTGTACAAGCCAACACAGTCCTGTTTATAAGAGGGGCGTCTTTCATCTCTGAGAGGAAAATTTACCCTAATACAGAATTTACACCAACACCACATCACTCCACGAATGCTCGAATTGAGGATGCAATCATGTGCCCCTAATTTTAGGTCTGTCCATTAAAACTGAATTAGTATAGTATAACTATGTTGGACTCATAACATGAATTTTACTTTAAGGTGGGTTTTTCCTTGAAGATTAATATGAATTTGAAGCAATAAAATAATCAAAATATAAGATATTATTCTAAAAATGTCTTCTTTTATCTGACAAACAGACAAAACCTAAACGACAGTCAATCTGCAATGATATAAAACAGAGACAAGTAAATCCTCACGCTGGAGAAGCTGGAACAGGCAAATGTTTGACATGAAAAATGACAATTGATTTTCAAAATAGTTTTCATTATCCATCAATCAACTAATCAATTAATAAAATAATCTCCAGTTACAGCTATTTAGGCTGGGGGAACACTTAAATGACAGCAGCACATATTTGTATGTGTTTAAGAAAGATCTGATGCAACTGTTGAAAGTTTATAGTTTTATACTGATTAGTTTCCATCATTCCACCTCAGATGATTATTGAATGTGTGATTATTGTTGTGGTCTGTTCACTAGGTACTTATTTTAGCCTTTCATGTCATTACCTTCAGTTAAATACGTCCTCATGTGTTGACGTCATTGCTTACACATCACTGATACTTGTATATTCACTACACTTCCAACTAGAAATATGTTGTGTATATGGACGTTTGTTGTTTCTCACTGTCACACTGGAGTACGAGTTATTCTTGAGTAGTTCGTTTTGGTTAGTTCAGATTAGAGAAGAAGCAGGAAGGGGGCGGGGGGGGGGACCTCTGCAGTGCTCACCTACTGTGAACAGACTGGGGGGCCTCTGTGTGACCTGTGTGTGTGTGTG